AAACGGCTTCCGACGGCTTCAGACGTGCCAGGAACCCACCAAGATGGCCGAAGTTGGCTCGAAGCTGGCCCGAGACGGCCCAAAAAGCCCCAAAGATCGCCCAAAGCTTGCCCAAGAGGCCTCCAAGACGGCCAAGATGACCTTCAAGATGCCCACGTGTTCCCCGAAGGCTTTCCAAACCGATTCGGGGAACACGTGGTCCGATAGCTTGGCAGGTCTGGCCTCAACGTTCGGCCACATAGGCGCTTCCAAAAAGGCAGGGGGCGGCGGTGATTCGCCGCAGGCGTCTTCGATCCGCCGCCCCCTGTCGCTTCATCGCAGAGGTGCCTGGCGTGCTGGACCTCTCGGTTTTGGTTTTGGTTCTTCTTCCAAAAGAACTCCCCCTGGCGCTTCGGCCCGTCCCGCCGGGGTCCTGGGAGGCCCTTCCAGGAGCGCAAACTCCGGAAACAATCCTCCCTGAAACGGCCGCTTCGCTCGGGACATCCTCAAACAATCGCGAAGATGACCCAAGATGGCCTCCAAGTCCGCCCAAGATGGTCCAAGACGGCCTCCAAGACAGCCCAAGAGAGTCCAAGACGGCTCAAGACGGCCCAAGAGGCCCCCCAGAGGCCTCCCAGACGGCCCAAGATGCCTCCAAGAGGTCCTCCAGGAGGGCCCGAAGAGGCCGAAATCATCGATTTGTCTTGGGTTTTTGAAGGAGTTTGGAATTTGCTTCTTCTCGGCATTCCGACTGCTCAAGACGGCCCAAGAGGCACCCAAGATCGCCCAAGGGGCCCCCAAGAGGGCCCCATGACGGCCCAAGTGGCCTCCAAGACGGCCCCAAGAGGGCCCAAGAGACCTCCAAGACGTCCTCCAAGAAGGCCCCAAAGGGCCAAGATGTCCTCCAAGAAGACCTTCAAGATGCCCACGTGTTCCCCGAAGGCTTTCCAAACCGATTCGGGGAACACATGGTCCGATAGCTTGGCAGGTCTGGCCTCAACGTTCGGCCACATAGGCGCTTCCACAAAGGCAGAGGGCGGGGGTGATTCGCCGTAGGCGTCTTCGATCCGCCGCCCCCTTTTGATTATTCAAGGGGGTGCCCAGCGTGCCAGATTATATGGCTTTTAGTTTTGGTTCTGTTTCCAAAAGAACTCCCTCTGGGGCTCCGGCGCGTCCCCAGACGGTGAGGCCTCGAAGACGCCCAAGATGGCCTCCAAGACGGCCAAGATGGCCTCCACGATGCCTCCAAGACTGCCAAGATGGCCTCCAAGACGGCTTAGATGGCCCCAAGATGCCTCCAAGACGGCCCAAGATGCACCCAAGACGGACTTAGATGGGCGCAACAGGCCCCCAAGAGGCCTCCAAGACGGCCACGATGGCCTCCAAGACGGCTCAGAGGGCCCCAAGATGCCTCCAAGACGGCCCAAGATGTACCCAAGACAGCCTAAGGTAGCCTAAAGATGGCCCAAGACGGCCCACGAGGCCCCCAAGAGGCCTCCAAGACGGCCCAAGAGGCCTCCAAGAGGTCCTCCAGGAAGGCCCGAAGAGGCGAAAATCATTAATTTTCCTTAGGTTTTGAAAGGATTCTGGTACTTGCGCCTTTTCGGCTTTCCGTCGGCCCAAGACGGCCCAAGAGACCCCCAAGGTCGCCGCAAGATCGCCCAAGAGGCCTCCAAGATGGCCCCATGACGGCCCAAGAAGCCCCCAAAACGGCCCCAAGAGGGCCCCAAGACGGGCCAAGAGGCCTCCAAGACTCCCAAGATGGCCTCTAAGACGGCCCCGAAGCGCCCCAAGAGGGCCCCAAGTCGGCCCAGAGAGGCTCCCAAGACGGCTCCCGACGGCGTCAGACATGCCAGGAGCCCACCAAGACGGCCGAAGATGGCCTTAAGATGGCCCAAGACGGCCCAAGAGGCCTCCAAGAGGGCCCCCAGGAAGGCCCGAAAAGGTCAAAATCAATGATTTCCCCCGAGTTGTTGAAGGATTGTGGCATTTGCTTTTTGGGAGCAGCAAAAGAAAGCAGGGAGAGGAAGCGGGCGGCAGGGAGCAGGGAGGGGGGACACCAACAGGTACCCATACCGCTGGTCCCCAGACCTCTCCCGGGGTGCGCTCTGACCAAAGCTTCGAGGCGAATCCAGCGGTGGCGATACAAGGGCCTCGAAGGAGGCACAAAAACGGGCGGCGAGCCTTTCGCTCCTGGCGGCCCCCCCAGTGGGTTCCGCTATGAGGCAAGCGCGCTCCACTGCTCTTAAAGTACCTGCTCGAAAATGGCCTGGATCCGCCGCGGGTGGTTTACGATACCTTGCATAGGGAGCAGGGAGGATGACATATTTGAGCCGGGCGTTTGCGAGCAGGCACCCTGCGAGTGGTGGAACGCGCCCGGTGAGCTGTGGCTCCGTTGGGCCAGGCAGCCCCCCTCCGGGCTGACCGCTGTGGTGCTCTCGGGCTGATTTGGTGGCCGACGATCCTCCTGACCGCTCGCGTGGGCCGTCCACTTCTGCACCGCCTGGTCGGCGGCGAGCCCGGGGGGTAAGTGCAAGGGGGCGGACCTTCTCTGGAGGCTCCGACGCCTCCCGGCCTACGGAGAAGCTCTCGAGGCCTTCCCCGAAGGCACAGGAGAAGGGTCTCCGGCGGCGCGCAGGCTTCTGAGAAGGTCCCGCCGCCTGCCGAGCAGGCCCTGTCCTGCCCACTTCCCCCCTCGCTCGCCGCCGACAAGAGAGAAGGGCGGGCAAGAGCACGAGAGGCGGAGAACGGCACCTGTCCTGGGGCAACACAAATCCGCGCCCCTTCATGGGGCTTTCCCGCGCGAGGACGTACCCATGCCGGACGGGGAGGGAGGAGGGGGAGAAAGCTGGAAGGATGAAGGGGAGGAGGTATCAGGAAGTGCTAGCATTAAGTCGGGCCTGTTCCTCTACAGGAGAAATATAAGACAATAATCAAAAAGTATCAGGTGGACGATTGTTTCAATATGGCTGGGCTATTTTGGGATGTGGTTGGTTTATTTTTGATTCTTCGCGCAAAATCAGCCTGTAGGGGGACATGCCCGACCTAATGCGAGCAGGCGCACCAGGGTGCGTGGGTCAGAGCACGCGCTCGAGCCTCGGCGTACCCCCCTCTGCAGGGCCGGGCGAGCTGCACCCGATGCAGCCCGGGTGCCCGCGCCACTATCACAGATAAGGAGGTGGAGGAGCAGCATGAGGAGGAGCAGGAGGAAGATGAACAGGACGGCTCCCTCCTCCTCCTCCTCCTCCTCCTCCTCCTCCTCCTCCTCTTCCTCGTCCTCCCCCTCCTCCTCCTCCTCCTCCTCCTCCTCCTCCTCCTCCTCCAACTCCTCCCCACCGCCTCGATATGTCGCCGCGCCGTTTGTCCTCGACGCGCCCAGGCGGACGACGCCGACACCACAGCAGACCGACGGCGAGCCCCGCGGCCCGCGCCCGAGGAGTCCAGGCCGGCAGCGCGGCCAGCCCTCGGCGGACCCACACTCTGCCCGCCGAGGCGGCGTTGCCCCCCGGTGGCCGCGACGCCCTGCCCACGACGCGGGGCCGCGCGTGGAAACGAGCGGCGCGGCGACAGACGTGCCCCCCCCCCCCGACCGATCTCGATTCTTTCCAAAAGATCCGTTCCTCACATGTCTGACGTGCGAGCCTGGCACAGAGTTGCCTCGGCATCGGGTGCGCAAGAGGAAGAGGGGGAGAGGCCCAGACAGCAAAGGGCTGCTAGTGTCCGTCCGCTGCTGCCCGGACACTGGCTGTACTGCTCTTGTCGTCGTCCTTCCTTCCCCCTCCCCCCCTGCTTGCTCCTTCCCCTCTGCCCGCAAGTCAGCACGCAGAACTTTTGTATCTGCCAGTGCACCGTCTGGGCGCCAAGCTCCATCGCCTGACACCGACTACGAGATCCGACGAAGCGAAACATTGCAGCACTGTAGAAAAATCACGCCCGGAGCCCTGGACCCCACCTATGTGCGTCATTTTTCGAGCCGGATCGATCTGTGAGGGACCCGGGGCCCGAAATGGAGCGAAAACGCCCGCTGTGAAAAAAAATGCAACGTCAGGATCTTAGGGGACCCCCCCGCCGCTGTGCCGACTCGATCGACCGCCCGCCCGCATCGCCGACGTCGGCGACGTATCGGCAACGTCCGCGTGGAGAAAATCGGGCTCCGCATCGAGCCGCATCGTCGATGCGGCGCGATCCTCCGACCCTATCTCCTCCGACCCCATCTAGGAGGCCTAAACTTGGGTTGGGCATGTCCTCGTACAGGCGGATTTTGGAATGTCCCAGAAAACTTCAAAAATAGTCGAAGCATCGTCCCCAGACTGTGTTTTTACTATTTTGGAATATCCCTGCTGTAGAAGGACATGCCCGACTTAAGCCAAGTCTTATGTTGCTCCCATCGTGCTTAAGGACCACATCCCAGAATTAACTTCGAGCACCCGGGAAAGTGTCGAAAGAGTGTCGACACAGTACCGAAACAGTGTCGGACGAGTGCATCCCAGGGCCCGACACGTGACATTCCTCGAGTTTCGGCACTTCTTGGGTGCTCGCAATTCTTTCTGGTGATCAAGGCTAAAGTAGGTTGGAACATCATACAATTGGAGCGTTGACCCAAGGAACCCTAAGGAACGAGGCCCCATTCTCCTATAAGTTCAACTCCGGTGTCCCACGGAAAACCTTAGGAATACCCAAGGAGCACTGTAAAACAACTGAAAAACACGGAGCCCCTTCCAAACGAAAAGGGTTCCGTCTTCAGCGCCCCGACTGTAAGCTTAAGTCGGGCGTGTCCCCCTACAGAGGGATTTTCGACGAAAAATGTAAAATGCACCCAAATTACACCAAAAAGGCCCAAACATCTTCAAAAAATAGTCCCCATACTATGTCTGGACTATTTTTGACCACATTTGGGGGCATTTTTTATTTCTCGTCGACAATCCCCCTGTAGGGGGACAGGCCCGACTGCACGCCTGGTCCCCCGCCGCCGTGCCGACTCGATCGACCGCCCCGCCCAGCAGCCGCCCGGGCAGGCGCTCCTCGGCCTGGGCGCTCCGCTGCGCCTCGCTGCGCTCGGCCCGCTCCTGCAGGGCCGCGCAGCGCACCTCTCCGCCGCCGGGGCGGCCCGGGAGCCAGAGGAGGAGGGAGGGAGGGAGGGAGGGAGGGAGGGAGGGAGGGAGGGAGGGAGGTAGGGGATAAGGGGGAGGAGCAGCCGGAGGGAGGGAGGGAGGGAGGGAGGGAGGGGCCCCAAGACCGCCCAAGAGGGCCTGAGGACGGACGCAGAGGCCTCCAAGACGGCCGAAGAGGCCCGCAGAACGGCTCCAAGAGGGGCCCGAACGGATATTTCGAGCTCTCGGGCCCGAGAGGCCCCAGGAGGCCCCCCAGAGGCTTCCAAGAGCCCCCTCATGACTCTGCCAGAGGTTCCCAAGGGGCTCCGAAGAGGGCCTCAGAAAGGCCCAAGAGGCCCCCAGGAGGCTACAAAGTGGCACGTAAGAGGCCCTGAAACTGCCCCCAAGAAGACCCCGAGAGAACCCCAAAGAGACCCCAAGAACCATCCTCGAGGACTCTGACATAGGACGCAGGCGTGGTGGCGGGATGGGCCGAAAGCCATGACATAGGATTTGGGTTGGTGAAACAACGAATCTTACCACAATGTGGGCTGTGGGGCTACGGCTACGAGCATTATAGCACTGTGGTTTGCACATGTCTGCCGCAATGGAGTGTCGGCGTTTGCCTCGGTAGCCACCTAAGCTGCTGTGAACCAGCACAACAAAGATCATGTGTTTGCGAACGCCTGTGTTTACACTGGCACCGAATTTTAGCGGATTCCGCGACAGGGAGCCCCGAGCTCTCAAGGCTGTGACCTCGACCGCGTAATTAATGTATGGCGTCCTGTCGCACCCGGCGATATACGTAGCACCCAGCAGATGCGGATCAGAGTGAGGGGGTGGTGGGAACGTCGGCAGTCTGACAGACTCTGGAGAAGCCCGCCGCAAGCGCCAAGGTTTCACTCATTATACAACGAGCCCGCCGCAGGCGCCGATTTTGTTCGTTAAACCGCTGGGTAGGTCGCGGGGCTAGGTCGCGGGTGGGTCGATGTTGGGTCGCGGGTGGGTCGCGGGGTGGGTCGCGGGGTGGGTCGCGGGTGGGTCGCAAGTGGGTCGCGGGTGTGCCGCGGGTGGGTCGCAAGTCGCGGGTGGGTCGCGGGTCGCGGTGGGTCGCGGGGTGGGTCGCGGGGGGTCGCGGTGGGTCGCGGGGTGGGTCGCGGGGTGGGTCGCGGGGTGGGTCGCGGGGTGGGTCGCGGGGTGGGTCGCGGGTGTGTCGCGGGGTGGGTCGCGGGGTGGGTCGGGGGTGGGTCAGGGGTGGGACGACGACAACAAGCAACAACAACAACAACGCAACAACGCAACCACGCAACAAGCAGAATCCTCACTACGGATGTCCACTTCAGCCACGCACCCAGGGACAATGGATGACCGCTTGGCCCCCTAACTATGACCTTGTATGGTGTGTATATATATGTATATATATATATATATATATATATATATATAAGAGCCCTCGGACATGCTCTCATCCAACTGCAGGGGCTCACTGCGAGTCTGCCTGTGGCGCTTCGGAGCCAGCACGAGAATTGTACCAACCTTCACGCGCGGATTGGATTGTTGCTCGTGTCCGAAATGTCCTGCGTAAAAGGGTCCGCGAGACCAAGGCCGCCCGGGACCCAAGTCGGTGATTGGTTGGGAAAGGGCGTCGTGCTGCTGCATACTCTCATGTGCTGCACAATGTCGCGATCGTGCTTCGTCCCAAGACCGTGACTTCCCAACCCATTCAGGGCGTCGTGGCAACCCACGCCGTCCATGATGAACACCGTGCGAGAGATCCTCGCAGTCTCCTCAGCGCGCTTCCTTCCCCAATTCTTGATTTGAATACGCCTGAATACGTCCCAATAAAGAACTGGCATTTCAAGCTCATGTCCTTGGTCAAACGTATACTTTGAGCTTACGCACCGCTGGAGCACAGAACCTACCGGTCGAGCTTCCATGATCGCTCGCCAAGCAGGCTGACTTGTGTCTCTGCCTCTCTCGGAACCACCTGAAGCGCCATGTCATCCACAACGCCCACCACTAACATCCGCCACCGTGCCCACTTGCACGTTGAGGCGCGGGAGAATATCAAGTGCTGCCTGGTAGGGTTTCTGCACTCTTCGAGGTGCCTCCCCCCCCTCTGCCCACGGACTGCTGCGTGCACCGCACACCCTCTGAAGGACACGTTCCCCGGTGAAACAACAAATTACCAGCCTGGAACATATCCCTATCCATATGCTGGGCACCTCCTCATCACGATGCCAATCTTAGGGATTCCCTTATTTTTTGAGGGCGGATCCCTAAGATTGTCATCGCCTTTTGGCGTGTCAATCTTAGGGATAGGGATACGTTCGAGGCTGGTAAACAAAGGGTCCACACCCCCGAGGCCACGAGTCCTCCCACGACCCCCCCGCGAGAAAACCACGGATCCGCGCTCTCGAGGTCGCGTCCGAAAGCCACTCCCAGGAGGAGGAGGAGGAGGAGGAGGAGGAGGAGGAGGAGATGGAGGAGGAGAAGAAGGAGGAGGAGCAGGACCGACCCACAAATCTGGCTGGACCTGTGCTATCCCATACCTTGCTGTACTCTACTGCGCTGTGGATCCAGTCGCCCAGGAGGGCTCCACGACTCCCCAAAAGGGTTCCGAGGGACCCCCAAGACAGCCCCGCAGGAGACCCACGCAGGACGGACAAAAAAGGAAGAAGAGTACGACGACGAGAAGACAACCCCTGTAATGCGTCACATGTAACCTTGCCATCGCTCGGACGTCCACTCCCCGTGCATTTTGTGGTCTCGCGCGTGCTTTTTGTTGGCAGATGCTCAAGGATGCTCCTCGATGGTCCCCACCGAGAAAAAGTGCACACGTCCGCGCGATGCCATGTAACGGCTCCCCCAAGCCTCGGGGCACGAGGTCACGCTGCCTCCTGCGCGCTCCCCGAACAGTCGCCGCCGAAGGTGCTAGGCCCGCACGGCGGTGGGACCTGCCGCAAGCAGCTGGATATCCGCTTGGTCGGCTCATACGCGCTGCGTCGGCTCAGACAGTTCATACCATCCATACCCTAACATTGTGGATGTCATGACAGTGGACACTCTAACAGTCCTATCATTGAATTAAAGATGGGTTTACAATGTGCAATACACGTTCTAACAATAGGTCAAACATGTTTTTAACATATTTCAAATAATGTTTAAACTTGTTTTAGACATCTGGCAATTATTTGGCAGCTTGCTTCCTCTCCATTAATCGTCCTCCACAACCCTAACACTTCACACGCTCTCATTTGCTGGCTTATCAACCAACTGTAGGGTCCCAGCGTCTCCTGCGCGCCTTCCCCAATACGCACATCGACGCTGTTGGCATGTCATACTTGAGCCGCCGTCCGACTGGCCGGTGCGTTGCTGGCCGAACTCGCCCACTCTGAGCACCGCCGTCAGAGTTTCTCGCCAGTCCGCTTGAATTGTTGAAAATGGCCAAACACTTAGTGGGCCCTGGAAACGACAGGGCCGTTTTTTTACCGGTTCCGTTCTGCCGTTTCTTTGCCGGTTCCAGGGCCGTTTTTGTTACCGGCTCCGTCGCTGTTTTTTGACCGGTTCCGGCTCCGGTCCCAATCCTGGAGCAGTTTGTTTGCCGTTTCCGGTCGCCTTTTTTTGCCGTTTCCATTTTCAGGGGACACTTGCTGGGAAACGGTGAAAAAACGGCCCTGCCGTTTCCGGGGCCCACAAAGGCCAAGCATCTGAAGACTGGCGACGCACGGGCACAGATAAAGCCGTGCACACGTGGGAGAAGCAGCAGAACACCCGGGCGCGCCCAGCCGGCGCGGCGCGCGAGACGGCCGGCACTGCGCCACCAGGAAGCCCTCAGGAGGCCCCCGAGAGGCCTCCTGCTCCCTTCACGCGCCCGAGGCCTCCGCTGGCGCGAGGTAGACTCTGGCGTCACACTTCCGTATGCCGTTTTTGCCATCGACTGGCAGGTAAATCGTGTGTGCGTGCGTGCGTGCGTGCGTGCGTGCGTGCGTGCGTGCGTGCGTGCGTGCGTGCGTGCGTGCGTGCGTGTGTGCGTGCGTGTGTGTGTGTGTGTGTGTGTGTGTGTGTGTGTGTGTGTGTGTGTGCGTGTCTGTGTCTGTGTCTGTGTCTGTGTCTGTGTCTGTGTCTGTGTCTGTGTCTGTGTCTGTGTCTGTGTCTGTGTGTGTCTGTGTGTGTCTGTGTGTCTCTGTGTGTCTCTGTGTGTCTGTGTGTGTCTGTGTGTGTCTGAGCCTGTGTCTGTGTCTGTGTCTGTGTCTGTGTCTATGTCTGTGTGTGTTGTGTGTGTTGTGTGTGTTGTGTGTTGTGTGTGTGTGGGTGTGTGTGTGTGTTCGCTTCCTGGCTGATCCTGCTTCCAGCGTGAATGACGACTGCCTCTTGCCACGGGCTCCGCCAATACACACACCACTGCTGCTACCTCGGGCATATGATGCCCATCTGATTATCCGATGCGACCGCCGACTAGGAAGCCGGCCACGCGACGACGTACAGTCGGGGCGTTGACCTAAGGAACCCTCAATAAGGAACAAGGCCCCTATTCTCCATAAGTTAAACTCCGATTTCATATCGAAAACCTAAGGAAAACCTAAGGCAAGCTGCGAAACAATCAAGGAACACGGAGCCCCTCCCCAACGAAACAGATTCCTTCTTCAGGGCCCCGACTGTACCCGCAATTCCTCGCATCGCAGGTCATGAATGCAGGTGAAGAGCTCGCAGTCCGATGCACTTGAATCTCTTGCCCGCATCCCTCAAGAAGATTCGTGGCGTGTTCGTCATGCCGTGGAGTGTCCACGAGAATCGTGATAGCCATTTTGGCCTGAAGCCCAGCGCTTCCTTAACGTTCGGGCAGACTGTACAACTTGACGCTGGCTCTGTCCCTTCCCGCTCGACCTGCTGAGGTGCTGATCGTGCGTACGCGCACCCCTTGTGCAGCCCTCGATAACAACTGTCTGAAGCGACGCCATCTTTGCTGGATGTGGCAGGGTAGATGCGCCTGCCTCCAGCATCGGTGTCCTCGTCTTCCAGGCGAAACCGGTTAGGCATGTCTGGGTACAAGCATCCAAATACAGGGAGATTGGCCTTCGCCTTGGGACCCTGTCGGGCGTCAACGTGGGAGGAGGAGGAGGAGGAGGAGATAATGTATGGTTCTTCCACTTCCCTGCTCATCGCGTCGTCATCCCCCCCTTTTCTTCACCGCTGCGCTGCACGGGGGAGAAGGGGGGGGCGAGGAAGGGGGAATGGGAGCGAGGGAGGGTCAAGTTATGCAGCCCTCTCCCTCATAACGCAAGAATCAGCTATGACACAAATGGACCTTGGGATTGGAACGCGTTCCCTCCTGGCGAACGGAAAGCCCTCGCAAGTTGGTCCGCAGCCCTTCGAAGAGGCGGTAGTGGGACCCAGGAGCACGCTAGATTTCGCATGTCTTCGGGCGGCCGAATGTCCGATGAGCGCGGCGAAGATGAAGCACGCGCCGCACGGCGATAGCACTGCCACCCTCACGCACAAGCTGCGCGGCGCCAAGGCGAGAGCAGCCTTTCGGCCGCTCTCCGGCGGCCCCCGCGCATGGTGCCGCTCCTCCCCGATCCAGCGAGCCCCTCGTCGCGCCCGAGCGGGCACGCAGCTTCCAATCGAAAGGCGCATGGAGCTTCTGCGAGGGCGGCAACGTGCCCGCTCACACGTTTAGACCGGGTGTTGCTAAAAGTGCCCCTGGCCCAAGGTGCCCCCCGCATTTGTCGCTCCATTCTGGAGCCCCCGGGGCCCCCGGGGCCCTCGTGAGGGGGGCCCTGGAGGCCGTCTGGGCCACCCCGAGAATCCTGAGGCTACCTTGGGCCAGGGGTACACGTCGTTCATGTCCCATCGCGCTCATTTCTAATTGCGCTCGTTTCTAATTGCTCCTGGCCCCCTGGTGGCCAGGAAGAGGCCCAGGATAGAACAATTAGATCTGAAAGAATACTGGCCCCCTAAAATCAAAGAACTCTCAAACACTTAGAAATGAACAACGAGTACTTCTAGCAACACCCGGTTATATGATGACAGGTTTTCGCCGCGCCGGGCCGCGGAAGCGCCGCCTGCGGGCGAGATCTGCGTGGCGCCGAGGCGGGGGCGACATGTTCGCCCGCGCGCGCGTCGACGACTCGGCGTGCGAAGAGGGTGCGCCGCGCCGAGGCTTACGTCGGGCCTGTCCCCCTTACAGGGGGATTTGGGGCGATAAAACAAAAATAGTGAAATCAAGTTTTCCCAAAATGAGCAGAAATGGTAGAAAAATCGTCCCCATACTATTTCTTGACTATGTTTTAATACTCCTCCCTGTAGGGGGACAGGCCCGACCTAAGCCTAAGCGGGAACTCAGTTCTAAGGGCAAACGACCGCGCCGAGGCGAGAACAATGTCTCGGTCTGTAGTGAAGGGGCCCTGGGACACACAAATAAATAGACACACATAGGATTCCCCATATTGTCCCGTATGTTCTGTGTTTTTGTCTTTCCCCCCCACTTCCCATATTCTCCATATTTCCGGGGGAAACGACGATTCATTTTTTTTTGTGTGCGTTTTTCCCTCCTGATCTTGCGAGTGATGTGTGCCCCGCCCCTTTCTTGCAACGCATTTTGCAACGTCGACCCCATCACGTCCATGTTGAGAGCGAACGTGTCGACTTTGCACTCGTGCTTCACAGCTCAGATGGGAGGGCCCAGATTGGAGTCCCCTTGGCCAGCTAGGTGGCCTAGTGGGAGAGAATACCAGCAGTGAAGAAGGATGGGGGGGGTGAGGCCGAGGAGAGTGGGGAGGAGAGGTGAGGCGTGCATGCGGAGCTCGTCTAGCCTCGGGCGGGTCCGGGAGACACGGCACTCCACGGGCCGATCCACCACGGGCGCCGGGCCCCGAACAGCGAAACGCGAGCCCCGAGAACTCTGCGGCGAGGCCCCGGGGAAGGGCGGGCGGGACGCGAGGCGACCGGAGCCGCGGAGGCGAGCGGAGGGGGGACACGAGAAGACAGGGGGGGCCCGACCGCGGCCTCCTCCTCCTCCTCCTCCTCCTCCTCCTCCTCCTCCTCCTCCTCCTCCCCCTCCTCCTCCTCCTCCCCCATCCACCTCCACCTCCTCCTCCTCCTCCTCCTCCTCCTCCTTCCCCTCCACCTCCACCTCTTTCTCCACCTCCTCCTCCTCCTCCTCGAGACCTTCCACGAAGAGCCCAACTCTGAGACCCCAGGACGTGCATCGATCTTTGGTGTGGGAGCGGCACGCTGTCCAGGGCAAACCAGCGAAGCCCGAGAAACCCGGGGCACCCTGGAGGCGAGCAGGGCTTGTCTTGGCATGGCCCCCCACGGTAGGACAGGACCGACCGCGGTGCGCGGAGGCGAGATCGAAACCAGCCGCTTGGGCGCTCAGCCAGGCGCGGAATCAGGCTGCCCATATTTGGGCCCTCCTCGTCGTCGTCGTCCTCCTCCTCCTCATCCTCCTCCTCCTCATCCTCCCTCGGGTGGAAGGGGGGAGAGAGAGAGAAGGGTGGAGGGAAGGGCGTGAAGGGTGAAGGGAGGGGGGGGGGTCAGGAGGCAACTCTTGGGAGGTCTTCGTGGGCACGGTCATGACTGTGAAGCCCGATTGAGGAGCCAGCAGATCGCATGAAGCTAGATTAAGCCCTTGCTTGAACCGGAATTATCCGTTTAAAGGGTACTACGCGGAATTTGCCAGGATAGCGCCCGAGTCAGGGCGACAACGATGAGGAGGAGGAGGAGGAGGAGGAGGAGGAGGAGGAGGAGGAGGAGGACGGGGGCGAAGAGGAGGACGAGGGCGAAGAGGAGGGCGACAACGAGGAGGAGGAGGAGGAGGAGGAGGAGGAGGAGGAGGAGGAGGAGGACAACGAGGAGGAGGAGGAGGAGGAGGGGGGCCAGGGAGGAGGGGTGATGGGGAGGGCGAGCGGGGGGGGACCGAAACCGCGCCGCCGGTCCGGGCCTCCGCCCTGTGCGCCGCCTCGCTCTGCCGGTCTCGGCGCCCCGCTCCGCGCGAGGCCTGGCGTGGCGAGGTGCCCCCCCTCGCTGCATGCGGGCATGCGTGCTGTCGGACCTCATCTCGCTCGCTGCCTCTCCGAATGTGCGTGTCTGCCTTTCTGTCTGTCCACCAGTCTCACCATCTCCCTCTCTCTCTCTCTCTCTCCTTTAATTACTTTTCTGTCTTGATTATTTGCTGGTTCTCTCTCTCTCTCTGTGTCTATCTGTCTATCTGTCTGTCTACCACCTATCTGTCTGTCTACCACCTGCCTTGCTCTCCCTCTCGCTTTTTTTTTTGTTCTCTCTCTCTCTCTCACTGTCTCAATTATTTGCTGATTCTCTCTCTCTCCCCCTCTCTCTCTCATTCTCTCTCACTCTCTCACTCCGTCAATGCCCTGGCGCCTGCCATAGCAACCTCGGTGTCCGTCGCCATCCTGGCCTGTGCCTACTTACCCACGCCTCCTCCCCCGTCTCTGCATGTCACCCTCAACTTCGGCATCTGCGGCTGCCGCCGTGAATAAATGCCTGCACATCTGCCTCTGCGCGGTTACACGTGCCTCTGCCTCTGGAACAGCCCCGTCCTGCCTCGCAGCTTTGGTGTTCTGGCACTGCCACTCCTGTCCTCAGTTTGTCGTACTTCCACCAGCCATCTGGGCGTAGGTGGTTTGACGAGTTGCGTCTTCTCTCTGCCATAGCTCCCTCCTTCCCCTGCTCGGGCTATGGGCTTACCCCTCCCCCTGCTCCCTACCCTGGGGCGCCCCGCGAGGGGTTAGAGCGTGCAAAATGACCCGAAATGGCCCCCAGAGGGGCTTCGACAGTGCAAGATGGCATCAAATATTGCTCCAAATCGCTCAGGATAGATCAAGATAGCATCCAACACACGTCTTAGAGGCCTCAAGACCACCCTGAGTGCTCCTCGAACCTGTCAAGGAAGGATCCCCAAAGAGTCCAAACCAGCATATCAACGTATGTGAAATCAATGTGTTTAGCCTTGTCGCCTTCCGATGGGCGCTTGAAGCCTCAAGGTGGCCCCACGACGGCCCAAAAAGGCCCCAAGAGGAACTCAATAAAACCCCATGACACGCCCAAGAACACCCAAGAGCGACCCAAGAGCGCCCCAAGAGGGCCTTAAAACTCCATTCGTGAGCCTCCCAGGGGGGGGCCTGAATTTCCGACCCCCCTTTTTTAGAATCAAAGGGGCCAAGATGGCCCCAAGAGGCCCAGACCTCCCACCGAGCCCCAAGAGGGCCCCAAGATGGCTCCAAGTGACCTCCGAGAAAACGCTTCCAAGGCGGCCGTTGCACTGCACTCTGTAACATTTCGCTGATCAAGGCAACGCGCCTGGCGATCTGCTTCTAGATGGGCTGGCGGGGATACGATTTTTGTCGCAACCGCAGGCGAAGGCGCCGGCGGCGTTACAAGTCAGCTCGGGCTACGAGCAGAACTAATTGACCTAGCGCGCGCACAGGCGGCTGCAGGGCTACCGCCGGGGGACGCAAGGCTGCGTCGAGGGCTGAGGCTGCAGGAGCTGCCAGGGGCTGCCAGGCGGCTAGGCAAGCGCGCGGGCATCCCGGGGACGAGACCACCATGATGGATGAGTTGGACCTTGTCGCACCAGGTGCCATCGACGCACCACAGGCGTGGCGAAGGGCGGGGGCTACAAAAACAGACCAACGTGCTAGGCTGCAGACCAACGGGGATGATCACACATGGCCGACCAAGAAGGCTGCGCTGGCGGGGGTATTTTTTTGTCGCGGCCGCAAGCGGAAGCGCAGGCGGCATCCGAAGAGGTCGGGCGGGCTACGCGCGAGCCTAATTATACAGCGACAAGCAAGCAAAGGCGCGAGACCGAGCGCGCGATCAGAACCTACCGCCGGGTGGGCAGACTGGCGGGGATACTTTTTCCTCGCGGGCGCAAGCGGAAGCGCAGGCGCCGAGTTGAAAGGTCCGGGCCACGGGCCGATCAAATCTGCAACGCGCGACCCTAAAAGCACAATGACAGAGCCCGGAATCAGAACCTACCGCCGGTGGGGCAGCTGGCTGAGGCTGAGTTGGCTGAGCTGACTGCAAGCGGCCAAGGTAGCTGATGCACACGTGCGAGTCAATTGGATCCTGCACGCCAGGAGATGTCGTGACCTGCTCTGTATCTACAGACCAAACGTCTGCCTAGCGAGGCGGTGCCACCAGACGGGCAGACCCGGGAAGGACTGGCGGGGATACTTTTTTGGTCGCGGCCGCAAGCGAAGAGCGCAGGCGGCGAACAGGGTGTCTGGGCCGACGGGCAAACCTAATTAGCTACGAGACGCGCCGCACTGGCGGGGATACTTTTTCGGTCGCAGCCGCGAGAGAAAGGTCAGGCGGCGAGAAGCAGTCTGGGACACGAACGAGGCTGATTAGCTACAGCAGGCACAGGCCGGCCGGCCCGCTCACAAAGCAGCCGCGAAGCTGCAGGGGAGCTGACGGCGGGGGTATCCTGCGAGCTCGAGCACGCACGTGCACAGACAAAATGTCAAGGAATTCGGAGCCTGCCACAGTATGAGACGTGAACCAGGATAACCAAGCCCGTCAATCTGAGTGGAGGCACGACCCACACAGCAGTAACGTGAAACAGGATGGTCAAGTCCGTCGTGCTGAGTGGGAGCAAGTGGGAGGCACTGGCGGGGATACTTTTTTGATCTGCGGCCCGCAAGGGAAAGTCCAGAGGGCGTGGTATCTGGCGGGGATACGCGAAGCGTCAAGAATTTCCGCTCCCAAGCGCCCAGACCGACTGGGAAGAGCGGCTATCTCCGTGCCCACCTTAGGCGACCTGCTTTGGCTCCTGCCTGCCGCTTGGACAAATCACGAAGGTGAAGCAGAATTCGCACTGCCTGCTCCATGCATGTGCTGTCCTCCTGCCCTTTGTTTCTCTCCCCCTTTCACTGCCCCCCTGCAACAATCTCGCTGTGCTTGTTGCAATGCGAAAGAGGCGTGGAAGTGGAGCGGACAAACGGTACCTCAAGCTCTTTGGGGGGGGGCCAGAAGTGGTGCCATGACAGACCCTGCGGTGACCGCGGAGTGCCCAAAGACCTCGCAGCAAGGCCATCTATCAACGGACGGAGCTGGGACCATGGAGGCCCCGATGGCTGGAGACGCCCTGGGCGAAAGACCCAAGTCCCCAAACCGCGCGGTCACCTCGAGTCCCCACTGACCTCCCGCTCCTCCTCCTCCTCCTCCTCCTCCTCCATGTCCTCCTCCTCCTCCTCCGCCTCCTCCTCCTCCTTGTCTCCGTAGCCATTTTGGCTCAAGGGCTTTGTCTTGGCGGGCTGAGCCCGCATAGGCAGAAACGGACACCGCTGACACCGCGGCAGTGCGAGGGCGCTTGCGCCCGATCAGTTTCTTTGCAGTGCTGGTTCGCCCCAGCAACTGCTTCTCCACGGGGCTCGGAGTTCCCGAGCCATCCCATGTCTTCGAAGGCGGCGAAGCGGCGGCAGAATGAGAGTGAGAACTGGGTCTGTCGTTTCTGCGTCCACGCTGTCACGAAGAAGCCCTGGTTCAACAAAGCAGGGGTCATGTACTGTCGCCAGTGCAGCCTGCACAAGTCCGTGTGCTTCAAGAGAATCTCAAGCAGTCGGAGTCTCCAAGCACTTCTACTCGGTCTGCCACGCTCGAGGCCAAGTGTGCGGAGCTTCAAGAGCAAGTCAGACAGCTTCAAGCAGCAAGGCGTTCTTCTCCTGATTCAGGTACTGGGAACCCTCCTCCTTGGGCTGCTGATGCTAAGCAGTGTGACAAGCGCAGCAGGATCAAGTACCTGGAAGGTCTCATCAAGCAAGTGGCGAGTGGAGGCTTTTCCCAGGACGAGGAGCTGCTCAGACGGTACCGAGAAGAGAAGTCTGCCCTCGAGACGGCCTTGTTTGCTGACAGACCTGTTGAGGAGCAGGCTCGCAGTTTGGCAAACCGGCTTCAAAGTGCTCGGCATAAGGAAACGCAGCTGCAGAAGGCCCGCGATGAGCAGCAGAGCAAGATCAGCGAGCTCCAGAAGGTCTTGGAGAGCCTCGACACGCGTTTGGTTGAGGCCAAGGAGGAGGTCCTGCGGCTTGAATGTGAGACGAGGGCAACCATGTCCAAGGCTCAGCCACCCGACGGCAGTGGGGAAGGGCCTCCTTCGTTGCGGCAAATGCTCCCCACGCTCTCTGTGTCGGTCGAGCAGCTGGGGGTGGTCGCTTCTGGGCTGGGGGTTCCTCCAGACCTCTTGGAAGAGCTGCAGGCGATGGCGGCCACGATCAAGAAGCTCGCCGAACTCCCTGCAGCGCAGCCACCCACCCCAGAGCCACAGCAGCAACCGCAGACGCCCGAGGAGCCCGAGGAGGACCCCGAGGAGGACCCTGCGCCACATGTTGAGTCCATGGACGTGGATGATCTGCGGGCTACTCTGGATGCAGCAGGGATACCTGCGCAACCCTCGGATGACGCCGAGGTGCTGCGTGGCAAGATCAGGAAGATGCAGACGAGCTACCTCTCCATGTGCAAGCGGCAAAAGCCGTCGGCCGAGTAGGTTCTCGCTTGTGTTCAATGTGCTCAGTGTGATGGTTGGAAGTGTTAGTGGAATGATGGTTGTTTCGGAAAGTGCAGGACCTTCCCCGCGAATGGAAGGAATATTGGGCTCGAGTGGCGACCGCTGTGTACTCGGAAGCGCTGGACCTGTTGTTGGGATGACTGGCACTGGTGATTGCGTGGAGGAGGCCAGCGGGAGCCCTTTCTCATTGAGTCGATGTGCTACTTCAGATGATGTTTCTAATTTTGCAGGGTTGGGACCTGCTTCTGTCCCATTGGCTTATGTGAATGCTGGTATGTGGAGTACAAGGGCTTCCACCAGTCTTTTGTCTGCCCCTGGTAGTGGGCCAGGTGCTGGGGCTTCGGCGTCGGCCTCCTGTTCAGGGACAGCGTTGAGTTCGGCGACTCGGCAGTTCTCTGCATTGGGAGCAGTTCTGGGTCCTGCCATCGTCCCTTCGCTAATGGAGGGCGACCGCTGTGCTCTCGGAAGCG